CTCCCCCTAAATTCCATATCATTTTCCATATCCAAATCCCAGATATTTTTCTCTTCCTCTCAATCACTTGTTTTGTTCGATTGTTAAAAAGAGCTTTTCTTGTCATGAGATTAGCTCCAAATCAGCGGGAGCTTCTTCAATAATATTATTAATTAATTATTATATATATTAATATGCACCCCAGTGTCTTTTTTTACTAAAAAAGAGATTTTTGTGAGTAAATAAATATTCTTGATGGAGTTCAGCAGCGGCGGAGGCGCTTCCAGCGGCGGCGACCACCACGACGCCTCCGATCCGCACCGGAGGAAGAAGCGATACCACCGTCACACGGCCCACCAAATCCAGAGACTCGAAGCGTATGCTCCTTTTTTTATTTTTTATTTTTTTATATCTTATTTTTGTTTTCATTTTTTGTCTTAACTCGAGTACTCCATGCACATATGATGAACGTTTCAAGGAATCTTCTGCGTCTTGTTTTGTTTTTATATTTTGCCATTTTGTTTTAAGTTAAAAAAATGCAATCTTTTTTCTCCAATTTCGATGATATTAAGGTTTGTGTGTGTGTGTTTTGTTTTTATTTTTTTTATTAGGATGTTCAAAGAATGTCCACACCCAGATGAAAAGACAAGGAATCTTTTAAGCAGAGAGTTGGGTTTGCATCCTCGTCAGATCAAGTTTTGGTTCCAAAATCGAAGGACCCAGATGAAGGTTTATTAATTTATTCATTTTTTTTCACAAAGATCTTATTTTTTAATTTTTTCCTTGGAAAAAAATTATAATAAAATAAAATACAAATCTTGTATGTTATACTTATACAGTTACATAGATTTTCCTAAAAATAAACTTAAACTAATCCTATTTCCAAATTTGTGTTGTTTTTTTTTTCAGGCACAGCATGAAAGAGCAGATAATTGTGCACTGAGGGCTGAAAATGATAAAATCAGATGTGAAAACATAGCCATTAGAGAAGCTTTGAAGAATGTCATCTGCCCCTCTTGTGGTGGGCCCCCTCTCTCCGAAGACCCTTATTTTGATGAGCAAAAATTGCGCATGGAAAATGCCCAGTTGAAAGAAGAGGTCCCTAATTCCACCACATTTCATTTATTCATACATTTAATATTAAAAAAAATATATACATTTTTTGAATTGATTTTTATTCATCTTTTTTGGGGAGGGCAGTTGGATAGAGTTTCAAGTGTAGCTGCAAAGTACATAGGAAGGCCAATCTCACAGCTGCCACCTGTCCAACCCATCCACATATCCTCCTTGGATTTGTCGATGTCTAGCTTCGGCCACGGGCCCTCCCTTGACCTCGACCTCCTTCCAGGGAGCGTAATTCCCAATCTACCCTTCCCTCCCACCACCATTTCCGATGTCGACAAGTCACTCATGGCTGACGTGGCGGCTGGCGCCATGGAGGAGCTCGTTCGCCTCGTCCAAGCAAACGAGCCGTTTTGGATGAAGTCGGGTGGCCCGGATGGACGTGAAGTTCTCAATCTCGAAAATTACGAGAGGGCTTTTCCGAGGGCTAATGGCCACTTGAAGAACCCTAATGTGAGGAGCGAGGCTTCGAGAGACTCGGGAGTTGTGATCATGAATGGGTTGGCGTTGGTCGATATGTTTATGGACTCGGTTAGTATACTTTTTTCGCTTATATACGAGTTAGAGTTGTTGAATTAAAGTTTTTATGAATTGGTTGGTTATTTTTCGTTTTAGAGTAAATGGGTGGAATTGTTTCCTACAATTGTGTCAAGAGCAAGGACTATTGAAGTCATATCATTATCTACTGGAATGCTTGGAACACATCAAAATGGCACATTGCAATTGGTAATTTAACTATAATTATAATATTTTCTAAATCATTCATTTTCATCCAAGATAATAATATTTTTTGAATTTTGATTTGAATTGTCGTGCAGATGTATGCAGAGTTGCAGGTCCTTTCAGCACTAGTGCCAACTAGGCAATACTATTTCCTCAGATTCAGACAGCAAATTGAGCAAGGGTCGTGGGCCATTGTCGATGTCTCGTACGATATTCCTCATCAAGACGAGCAATTTTCTTCGTCACCTTGTAAAGTCAACAGGCTGCCTTCCGGATGCTTGATTCAAGACATGCCGAATGGGTACTCCAAGGTACAATCAGTCTAAGCATATCTGCATATGTTATGTTCACATGACTTTGTTAGTGTAATAGCCAACTTTTTTAGGTCACGTGGGTCGAACATTGGGAAGTAGAGGACAAAGCGCCGATCCACCGGCTTTACCGTGACCTCATCCACACCGGATTAGCCTTTGGAGCCGAAAGATGGCTCTCGACCCTCCAAAGGATGTGCGAACGAGTTGCGTGCCTGTTGGTTACTGGAAATTCGACTCGTGATCTCGGTGGAGGTAACTAAGATATATATATATCTCGAATTTTATCAAGATATATACATAGTACCGTTTTTTATGATTTTTCGCGTTTTTTTTTTTATTAGTCATACCTTCACCCGAAGGCAAAAGGAGCATGATGAAACTTGCACAGAGAATGGTGAACAATTTCTGCTCGAGCATTAATCCATCCAACGGTCAGCAATGGACCACATTATCGGGTGGTGGTGGTGGTCTTAACGAATTCGAAGTACGTGCAACTCTTCACCGGAGTACCGATCCCGGCCAGCCCAACGGTGTTGTTCTAAGCGCTGCCGCCACAATTTGGCTCCCGATTTCCCACGAAAACGTGTTTAATTTCTTCAGGGACGAGCGTACTCGGCCTCAGGTCGCAATCATTAATTTTCTCAAAATTACGGTTTTTGGTTTTCGTTGTATTTTGCTTATTACGGTTTGAACTTTTTTGCAGTGGGATGTGCTTTCGAACCAAAATCCGGTGCAAGAAGTTGCTCACATTGCCAACGGATCTCATCCGGGGAACTGCATTTCGGTCCTCCGGGTAAATAAAATTAACCCGACTTTTTTTGGCCGATCGTGTAAATAATAAACGTGAACGTGCTTAATTGAATTCAATTCAATGGATTTGTTAAACACAGGCGTTTAACACGAGCCAAAACAATATGTTGATCCTTCAAGAGAGCTGCATCGACTCGTCTGGCTCGATTGTGGTCTACTGTCCGGTCGACCTTCCGGCAATCAACATTGCTATGAGTGGTGAGGACCCTTCGTACATCCCGTTGCTTCCCTCCGGTTTTACCGTCTCGCCAGATGGACGTGGGCCCCGTGCTGACGTGGCGTCATCAAGCTCGAATGTGGTGGATGGGTCGTTGATTACGGTCGTGTTTCAGATCCTAGTCAGCAGCCTGCCCATGGCTCGGATGAGCCCCGAGACGGTGACTACAGTCAACAACTTGATCGGGAACACCGTGCACCAGATCAAGGCTGCCTTGAATTGTGCCGGCTCCTGATTTTAATTTCTTTTTTAGGGTAAAATGGGAAATGTGTTGTGAGAAGGGAGAAGAAAAGATTGTTAGTTGGGGGAGTTAAAGTCCCATCATCAATGGCTGAGGCTGACTTATTGCTGCTGTGTTTGCTGCTGCTGCTGCCTGTTTTTGCTGTCAAGGGCCTCATTTAAAACGCACAGCAACTTTTTTTTTGTTTATGGTTTTTTATTNGAAGTTGTGGTGTTTTCTTGAATGTCTGTTTACATAATATATAGGCTTTTGATGAGCACAGCCAAGAAAAATTACTGTATGGTTCGGGTATTGACTTCTTATATATTTACTTGGATTTTGGAATTTTCTTTTGTTGAAATTTTATTTAAGGATATCTAATGATTGTGTATTGTTATTGTTTTGGAAGTTGAATAAACTTGTGAGTTTTTTTTGCTTGGTATTTCACTTTTGCTTGCACAATTCAAATTCTATCATCACTTGGTTAAGGAAACACCACATCAAAATATGTTAGATACCTAATAATTATATGTTAGTTAGTTAACTATGTTAATTTGAAAATATTACTTACTATATCAAGTAAATATTGGAATTTATGTGAAAAAAATAATGAAAAGGAAAAAAGATAAAAATGTGAATGGTAAATAGTTTAGTATTCAATGCAACATGAATGTTCCAGACTAGATAACACATTTGATGAATACATAACATGTCTATCTAAGTTTGATTTATCATAAATGACCAAAAATTGTTTTATTGCGTATACGTGTGGTCCATTTATGTGGGAATAAAGAGGCCATGAGAGTATAAAAAAGTCATGGCTAGTGGGGTAATAACAATGACAGACGATTTTTTTTATTTTTTTATTTTTTTTTTTATTTTCAGCTTGATTGTTCCAATCAATATAACCAACTCTCAAGCCATCTACTCAATATCGTTGTACACAAATTGTTTGTGTTATCAATCCATTTTATTTTTTAACAAAAATATATTTTCATATTGTAAAACATCATATTCTTTTTATATGATTTTTTAAAATATGACATTTTAATGTGAACAATTGTTGAAAAAGTATGTTGACTTAACCATTAAGTTTATCTAGTGTTGTTAAATTAAACGAGCCTAGTTCGACTTGTTAAGGCTCAAGTTCAGCTCGAGCTTGAGCCTTTAACGAGCCGAACTCGAGCTCATTTATATCTCATTTGGCGAGCTCGGCTCGATAAAGTCCATTAAAGCTCAACAATAAAATTTTTATATAATGTTTTATAATTCGACTCGTTAAAGCTCGAGATCGGCTCGTTAATAGTGATAATGAGCCGACGAGTTGAGCTTGAACTCAACTTTTTGTTGATTTATATAACGAGCCGAGCTCGACTCAACTCGATAAGGACTCGAGCTCGAGTTCGAGTTCGAGTTCGAGCACTCTAAACTTGAACTCGGCTCAACTCATTTACAGGCCTAGTCTATCGAACAACATAGACTCATTATATATTTGGACTCTTTGATGTCTCATTTTTTAAATCAAATAATGTTAGAGCTTTTTCTTTAGAAAGAAATAAAAAAGGAGAAGGAAATTGATGAAAATCCTATATTAGGTTTGGTAGTCGTACCATTGCGTTTAATGAATGAAGGTGACGTGCTTGGTTAAAGCGTGTGTATTATTAGGACGTGTACAAGTATTTCAATTNCCTAATAAATAGGTCATTAAGACACAAAATCGTGCTTCGTTTTGTAGACATAAAATACACATATATTGTTGATATATATTTGGTTACTCGGTTACTATTTTTTTCATTAACTCGGTTACTATTTACATAATAGAATTAGAAACAATTGGCAAAAAAATTGGACGAGAACAATATATATTTTTCATTTTGGTTTTTCTCGGATTCCCAAATATAAAATCCCCTCCCTACTTATTTTGTTCCATCTTTTTTAGTAGTTATTATTGGGCTATTAGAATTTTTGTACAAAAAGAATTCTTGTACCGCTATAATGAAAATATATATATATATTTAGATTGAAAAACATTGTAATTCACATAATTTTCATGGAATTAGTCTATCGATGATGTTTCAACTGTTTCTACATATATAGATCTTAAGGAGATTGGGCCATTTTATTTTATTTTACTTCTTCTCTTTTTCTTTTCGTGTTTCATAGCCTTGAATCCACGTGAAATTATTGGAAAGCACATCGAAACTTCATACAATTGAAAGAAATTAACATGCTTGTCAATTACATACTCTGATTGCATCTACTAAAGTTGCTAAGAAATCAACACATTTAGGGACTATATATATATATATATAGAGAGAGACTTACAATTAATTAAGAGACATTTATTGTACATGTTTGAACTCTTTCTAATACACGAATCTTGATAGATAATTAGATATATGGGAATTGTGTTTAGCACCGACAACTTAAAACTCAGTTCTCCATCAAGCCCAACATACAAGTCCAAATGGGGTTTCATTCTAAAATCAATTGGCAATAGAAGGAGTAGCTCACCAAACTTATATATTGGACTTGAAACCTTTAATTTTCGGATGTGGGATTGAGTTTGCACACTCTACAAATTGGGGTGGCAAATATTTATATTAATTTGAATGAAAAAAACAGGACAGATGGATCAAATCGATTGGCATATTATTTGCTAACTATTGTAAGAAAATATATTTTTGACATAATCAAAAATAATATTACTTGCTATTTTACGGTTTCCTGAAATAGTAACTTGGATTTTAAAGCTTTTTTTTTNAATATTCTAGTTTTGTAATTGGTGCTTTGAATGAGCATTGAGTATCTTCATAGAGCTAGAGAATATTTTTCATGTTTGTCTAAGTCCATATCGTGACAAGAAGAATAATGGAGTTGGTTATTGTGACTCAACGGGTAAATTTTTACATATATGTTGATCAAACACTTTCTCAATAGAAGAATTTTGAGAAAAAATGAAACTCTTTCCTAAAAGTTCAATTTATTATTTTTGGTTTCTACACTTTACATGTTATATTTTGTTAATTCGCAACCACTAATCTCTCTCATAATATCATACGTACCTTGTATTATTATTACCATTCATTGAAAGTAATATCAGTTATCCTGTTAAGTATTGTAATTAACTTTATGTTGTATAAAATTCATTACATTGGTAAAATAATCTATATTGTTCTAATTAATTGATGTTTGTACAACTCACAACTCCACATTCACAAATGAATAAAAAAAATAAAATGAAAGAAGCGTGAGGGTCGAACTTGAAAAACCCAAGAGTATACATACACGATGACCAACTCTCAACAGGATAGATAGAAAGATGAATTAAACGAGAGCTAAAAAGAAGCCTTAATTATGGGTCCCCAGCTATTAAACTGTTTTGATTATTCCTCAATACGTAGGACCAACACTTTATAACATAAAAATACATGTAATGTGTTAGATTAATCCACGAATTGTTTTTATAAGTTCAATTTGAACATGTGTACGTGTGTTAGTCGACANTTTGGCCAATTGTGAGTTTGTGACATAAATAAACACGAAAAGGGTCTCTCTTAGTTAGACAAATTAGTCCAATGAAGTGATTTATCAAAACCATTTTGGGCCCATTGCATGTGGGAATTGTCAATTTGTCATCACACTTAATTAACTATTAATCGGTAATCGAAGTTAGTTATGAGTTTATAAATTTCGACATATCTCCAGTAGTATGAGGCATTCTGAATACAAGCCCAAAAATAAAAACTGTGAAGACGACTCGGATTTCAAATCGAACAATATACCGTACTAATGAATCGCACTGTTCGCAAGACTTATAAATTTCAACATTGGTACCAGAGGCAATATTGACATATGTCACAGATCCAAAATAATAATTTGAAGGGGCCACCATATAATTAATAACAAAATTAAAATAATTTTTTTTTACAAAATGCGAAAGTCTTATTTTACAATTGTTACCGACCAAGTTTTCATCCTTAAAAAATTATTACTACAACATCCGTGTACTACACGGGTTGTTTGAAAAAAAAATATAAACATAAAATAATAGAAAAAAACACATGTTGTTGTATAACTATTTCAACTCTTTAAAATATATTAGAAAGATCATGTAATATTCTATAACTATTTCAATGTATTTTATAGATATTCTAAAAAAGAACATATTTACAATATTCCAATCAAGATGCACATTAATGGAAGTTAATTTTACATAAAACATTACTTTGGGTTTTAATTAAATTATCAATTTATATTTTTTTAATCATAATAATTAAATATTTGTATATTAAATGAAAATGTCAACCCGTGTTGAGTTTTTTTACTTATATCATATAAAAATATCGGTATTATTTACTATTACATAAGTACAAAAATATATATCTTAAATAAATAGAAATAATATGGTGATATATATATACATAAGTGTAGAATATATTTATTAAATATTAAGCAAAATAGATTAATTTTTTTACTTAATTAGATGCCTAATACATCAAGTGTCGTATCAGTCGTTCTTCATAGCTTTTTAACTTTATATGTAATTTTAGAATTTATATAAATAATTATGTAAAACCGATAAGAAATACAAAAGTTATCAACTTTTAAAATATATTTGCAATTTATCTATACTTATATAATAAGAATTAACATTTATCCAAAATAGTAGGTCAAATTATGGTCAATGTCGAATTTGCATTAAATATTTTTCAAAACCGGTAAGTTTTTGTCCTTTTCACACTTCTCATTAATTATGTCATTTTCACACTTCTCATTACTTATGTCCTTTTCACACTTCTCATTAATTATGTCTTTTTCACACATCTAATTAATTCATTAATTACGACATAATTATCATAAATCATTCCATCTGAGCTTTTATCGTTAAAATGTAAAGCGATCTGTTATGACCTTATCCCATTGACATTTCCATGAAGCGTCCTTATCGCGTTCTATATTTTGGTAACCACTCTATATCAATAACTGGATATTTGGTTAATGATAGCGCACGTCTTTATTTCAAGGAGCGGATATTCTTTGACCTTTAATTAATCTGAACTGATTGCCTTGACTTTTCAATTTTTAAAAACTCTTTTTTTAAATATTTCGGCTTAAGATTCGGATTTCATTATACAAGTCATCGGATTGTTTGAATGAAAATGAATGAAAAGAACACCAAAAACAGGTAGCCTTATTCATATAACCAATCCTAAAATATTAGTTTGTTCACCAAAAAGAGACAAATCCTAGAAATCCTAAAATATTAGTTTGTTCACCAAAAATATTAATTTGATTTTTAGGATTTGTCTCTTTTGAAAATATTAGTTTGTGATAATGAAGAGTTACCAAATAATCAAACTCATAATGTTGTGTACAAGGAGGTTTTTAATAATATATGATTGTTACCGAACTTTTTATGATTCAACAATGTTCCTATATATTTTAATGATTTCAATTTCGATCCTAATGCACGTGAGGTTATATTATTCTTCCAAATTTTACATCTCGTGCATCGCACGGGTTACGTACTAGTTGGTTATAATAGGAAATGATATTAAAATACAATTAATACAAATACTAATTTATATCCAAGCCTAACTCCAAAGCATGATTTTTTGTAAAATAGAATTCCGAAACATGAGAGCTTGCCACGTAGGCTCAGCGCATTATAAAATTATATATAGAGGGAATGTGAAATTATTTCACTTGTAATATATACTATAGCAGTGCTATTTTTTTTATTTTTTTATTTATTAGATTGGTCATTTGTTGGGGTTTTTTTTGTTTAGTTGTAGGTTTATTTATATTTGCTTTGGACATGGAGCACAACTTAATATAATATATAGAAGGCAAAATATTTTGTCTAAAATTACTAATTACTGAAATATATACACAAAGAATGCGGATTTGGGTCGGCCAAAGAGTCCCACAAGACTTATAAATTCCAACATTAAGAATCAAGAGAGTGCATACAAAAAAAAACTGAAAAAAAGGATTATACTAATTAAATGTTCATAAACATTGTACATTATAGTAATAGTTTATGTAGGGGAACAAAAGGGCTTCCACAAAACGCTTCTAAGAATCTTGAAAAAAGAAAAAAAAAAGTGAAAAATGACTCAAAGACAAGAGGCTTTGATTTCTATTATAAATATCCCACACAATCATGAATATTGTTGCAACACACATTGTGTTTTGATCAGTTTTATCGAAAAGTGGTGGTCGCCTCGCCGGAGATAATTAAGCTTTGGCGTGATCATCAAATGTCTCCGGTGGGACTTCCTCCAGGTTTCAGGTTTCACCCTACCGATGAGGAGCTCGTCAACTATTACTTGAAAAGGAAAATCCAAGGCCTTGAAATCGAGCTCGATATCATCCCGGAAGTCGATCTTTACAAATGCGAGCCTTGGGAATTGGCAGGTCAGTGAAAAATCCCAACACATATATAAATCAAATCGATAATGTGACGATGTGCCATTAATCAAACATGTGTGTAAAATGTGGTTAATTCGATGCAGTGCAGTCACTAGATTTTTTTTTTACCGTTAGATCAAAGGTAGCTAAATTTTGTCATGGTTTTTTTGTTTTGGTTGGTGTAGAGAAATCTTTCTTGCCGAGTAGGGATCCGGAGTGGTACTTTTTCGGGCCAAGGGACAGGAAGTACCCAAACGGGTTCAGGACGAATAGGGCAACTCGAGCCGGGTATTGGAAGTCAACCGGGAAAGATAGGAAGGTGAATAGCCAAAATCGGGGCATAGGCATGAAGAAAACACTCGTGTATTACAGGGGAAGGGCACCACAAGGAATAAGGACTGATTGGGTAATGCATGAATATAGGCTCGACGATAAGGAGTGGGAGGACACTTCCGGTCTCCAGGTAGCTCGTATGGTTATACTAATTTTATTTTATTTTTTAAAAAAAATAAAATTTAAATTTAGTGTAATGCATTGGTAGGTAGAGATTGTGTGTGTTGTTGCATATGAAATAAACCCTCATGCAATGTTCAATTGGCCAGCTATAAACTGATCAAACTTGAAAGAATAATTGAAAAAAAATTTCCATTTTGGGAACTGCTAGCTTGTGCTTGTTTATATTCTTAGCTTCAGAAGTGTGATTTTCTAGCTAGGTATTTTCTGATCATTGTTTAGTTTGTGTGTGATATAAAAGACTCTTATGGTGGCTTTGTGTTTCTTGAATTATAAAGATGGCATCTTCTTTTTGGGGAATGCTACCATCCGTTACGGGATAGTTCCGTTGTATTTTGTAGCCGTATATATACATGTAATCTAATAATGTATAGATAATCTACGGTTAAAAAATTACAACGGAACTCGTAACGGAATGGTAGCATTCTCCCTTCTTTTTATCCATACTTAACCACTGAATTTATAGAAGGGCTTATTGAACAGTATAATTAAAGGCCATGTTGAGAGCTTAGCTAAGTTAATTGAGAAAAATAAGAATAGACTTGTATACATCACTCTTTACTTCATTTTTTCTTCTTTTCCTTTCCTTTATGTTTCTCTATAATGATGCAACTTTTCATCCCTTTATCATGGTCGAATTTTTTTTAGCTGCTACATACGTTACTACTAGACTAAAAAACAATAAACTAAACTAAATTAAATAGTGGGGAGATGAAAGATAAAAAGGACAGATTTTAAGAGTATCAAAGTGAGAGAGAGAGAGAAAAAAAAAATAGAAATGTCAAAATTTTTCTTTCAAAGAAAAAAATTAAGTTGGTAGGATATATTGTGTAGAACGTGAAATGCATTGCATGCATGAGAAACCTCTACCTTTGTCGCACTCAACAATGGTCCAACTTTTTATTTGTATTTTTCATAAAATATACTACTCTTTGATATATGTTTGTAATTAATTGTTCCAATATAGTGCTTCTTACACATAAATATTTAACTTTATATGAGTACTCAAACATTTATGCTTGATCTGTGATTCAAAGTTATTACCATAATTATTTCAACACATTTATATCATTTAAATAAGCAGAAACATTCAACCATAATGATTATGTATGAAAAATATTTTTTTTCTTAATTTTATCCAAAAAGAAAAGTAAAAATTTGCTGACATGTTATTCTTTTCTTGCACTGGTAGGTACTCTCAGATCTCTTGATTGGCAAAGTTCTTATTACTTCACTTTCTCTATAATATATCTATAAATAAAGAAACTTAAACCTAGACAAAAGTACAATTCTTCCATAAGACTGAATCTGATCTTATGAGATCTCCCCCAATCATCAAACTGTTTAGTTTGCTTATTTTATTCCGTCTTTTTTGTCATGTTGTCTTGATATAATCATATGGCCCTGATGTAGAATCCCAGATTCTTGCACACACAAATCATTTCATTTTGATTTATAATAATATTAAATCCAAAAGGAGTGTCCCCCCTCACTTTCATATTATAAGGTGTCTGCCACTTTTCACTTTATTCCTCCCTAAATAAGCCAAACTGATATATATATATAGAGAGAGAGAGAAAAAGAGAGAGGTCTAATTTCTAAACTGAGTGTGTATTTTGACATAAATTCAAGATGATAACCTACTGTAAAATTTAGTATATCCATAAAATGATCCTGCTAGGGGTAGATACAATCCTACAAGTGTGTGTGGAAACCCACCGTAATTCTCATCGTTGGATCACACGCGCACTAAATTGATCCAACGGTTGCACCGTACTTACCTGTAGGGTGAAATCTACAAAGTAGAAATCTTTAGCATAATTTATGATCAAGTTTGAATTTTTTTTTCATAATGTACATAAAATAGGAACATTAGGGAGACATTGGCCTCCACAAGCCCGTTATGGGCCCACCCATGTTGAGTGACATATGATGCTTGAGTTTGGTAGGGTGAAATTCAAGGGAGAATAAAAAGAACTCTTTGTACTTGCAAGAAATTTTCTTTGCACAACCATAAGATTGCCTTTCTTTTACAAATTTCTGCCCTGTTCTTTTTCTTTATCTATCTTTTTACCACTTTAATTTTGACAGCACTGTAAGAACACCCCAAGAGCCCCAAACATTGACTGATAAAAGCATCATGACCCCACATCTGTATTTCATCAGATCAGAAATCCAAGATCTCAGTCATCAAACTTTTACTTTCCCTTGAAACCTAAACAGTGAACATGAAATCAAGAATCTTGCAAGCTATCTTGAACATAAAAAAATATGTCTAATTAAATCAACCGAGGTTCGATCACCTTAGACACTTGCAATGAACCCTTTTAAGTTTTAATAACAATGCTAACTTCTTGTTTGCAGGACTCGTATGCATTATGCCGTGTTTTCAAGAAAAACGGGCTGTCCTCAGAAATCGAGGATCACGTCCAATCAAGCAACGTGTTGTTGCTCGATTACATGCAAGGAGTCAACAACGAGCACGAGTCGATGTCACCCGACTTTCCCCTGGCATCATCTTCCAATAATATATGTAATGAAGAAGAAGATAAAGATGACAAGGATGAGTCATGGATGCAGTTTATTACAGATGATGTTTGGTGTTCATCCAGTACAAACTTTGCTGGTGATGAGGTTTCTCAGCTGACCTTCACAAACTAATTACATGAAAGACTCATGTTTATGAACTTTTAATCATGTTATGTCATGCATTATTACTCTGATCATCACTAAATGTACTTAAATATTTTTTTCATCCCATTATTTTCAACTTATTTTTGCCTGGTGTGTTTTCTGAATTACACCCAGGGTTTTTATCCTTGTGGGTGGTTTTTGGCCTCTTTATTGGGGTATCTTTATTGGGTTTGACTAGTGGAATAAAGGGTTTTATTCCCTTCTGAAGTTGTTATATTGTTGTGATATTATTATTATTATTATTGGTTGATTGGTTGTTTATCTTTTCAGATAAATTGTGCTTCAGTTTTGTTTGACCAAACCTAGTCCTCAAATTTTCCCACAATTTAATTTTCTGCCAAATTTGAAATCTCTGCATGTAAGGTCTAGGTAGGGGTCCTTTTGTGCTCATACTACAGCTTCAGTAGTCAATTTTCAATTGGCCAAAAGTTAACATCATAGCTTAAAATTTCAACGGAAGATAATATATATGATATATACGATTCATGAAAACGTATACTTTCACTATAAAAATCACAGTCGAATTGGGAGTTTTCAGTCATATCTCTATCATGAAAAACATCAGAACCGCCGACAGATGTAATGTGAAGGAGGTCAAGAACAATGCACCAAGAAAAATTGATGTAGAAAATGCATTTAGACAACAACTATGATTACAAGAAATACTTTATGATGGGAAAGAAATGAAATTTTCCTTATTCATTTAAAAAAATAAATAAATAAATAACTGTGGGGGTGGGGTTTGCACACACCAAAGATCGAGTTTATCGAACAGAAACCTTCCATTTTAGAAATTCTTCGGAGTCCAACATGAATGAACTGGCATTCTTGTGACCTCCGCCTCCATATTTCTGTGTATAAAATGATTGTGTTGTACAAATAAGTCTATTGCATATGTTATATGTTCTCTCAAAAAATATATTGAATTTTGGGGAGTAGAAATAACCTGAGATATGGGTGTAGTGTCCTCATCCAGAGTACTCCTTAGGCTAATTTTTAAAAGTTGGTCATTTCCAAGCTCGGGTACCCTGTACACAACAGCTCCAATCCCCCTACGAAATAATATGACAAAACAATCATGGTAAAGGTGATGCAAAATTAAACTTGCCATATATTAATGGATAATCTTGATCTTGCACGATTTTAACCTCCTTTCTGTGTGATTCTTGATTTGCCCGTTAGGTCTGTCCTGCGATATTTCTGACACATGCTTTATGATGAAAATTACTCTTTCAAAATTACATAATTCATCCCTTGCAGTTGTTCTATTCGACCAATTACACCTTACATATTTTTTTAGTACAGCACGTCATATTGACCTCAAAGATGATTGATTTATGCAGATTTTGCAATTGATTACAGGATAAGGATAAGAAAACTATCACCTGTCTTCCGCAGCTCATAAAGTGGAATGAACTGCGAACCAATTTGCTTTCTCTAGAAGTTTAGTGTTTTAATAGGTCATTTTAATGTAGCGGTCCACTTTAGGTATCTCTTTATTTCTGCCTTCTGCAAAGTTGCTATAAATATACATATCAATTCTAGGAAGGTCCTGCTATTGAATGCTTTTTCTTTAGCCTAGCAACTAGACTATGACAAATTCGAAGCCATATCCTAGAAACTATTCGTAAATTTCAGGTTTCCTATGTCAACTTGCTTTTGGAATACGACTCGACCCATTATTCTTCACAATCACCTTTTTGTTTGATCATAAGTTGCATCTTCAGAATGCACCAAAAACCCAAATTCTTCATATTATGTAGAACACCCAAACGTTGACTTTGCTTTTACAGGAGTGTCATCAAGAGGGGCCTTTTGTACGGTACGTACAAATCTCAAGTGTCACTTGAACGTGTAAATGAATTATTTATAATAATATTGTAATAATGCCATATCAACTGAGACAAGAATTTAGTTGCAAATGCATATAACACGATAAACATTTGGAATAGATAAAGAATTACAATCCCTCTGATTTCTGTAAGTGCAGATTTTGCAAGTTAACAATTTTCTATTACCAAGATCATGATTTACATTAGGTCTCCAGGAGTCGAAAAGGGAAAACAAAGTAAAAGAAAAAAACAGACATATCAAGAAAAAAGAGAAAAGAACGGCAGTTTAGTATACAAGTTCAAACCTTAAGTTCATCTTCAGGCTTTTATTAGCTAATTGATTCCCAAGCTCACTCCTTAACCCCTGTATGGAATCTGCATTGACAGCCTACAAGCAGAAAACAAGAGAAAGAGGATGAGAGAGAGAGAGAGAGAGAGATCATGGAGTTGTGATGCTACAATATTGGAGCAAAATATCAATTACTTCATTAGTCAGAGATATAACACATTGTCAAGTTGCTTGAAACTGGGTGGAATTGCCATATAGCTTGCCATATTACAGTAATCACACAACATCCTAGCATCCAACAAATATATAGAAACCATAATATTAAAATTGGAGTAAAGAAAACGATAGAATCATCATATCGAGAAAACCATAAAAATTACATGTGAACTTAGCTACAACAGGTTGGTGGTTCAAAAATAGTGATCTTCCTATTAAAAGGTATCGAATCTTATGGACAAGAATGGGTAATGCTAAGGGGAGTGGGCTAATCAACCAGTCGATTTCTTTTTCTTAAGGAGCTGTTTTATTAATAGGTGTTCATATTCACTTACAGAAACTAAATGTCCGCCCGTTACACTGCCTTCTACGGTTCTACTTCAAAAAGTCCCATTATTGAAAGAAAAAAAAAAAAACAATATGACAAAATCTTGAAAGCATTCTTCTGTTTATAATTCACGCATACACCCACACCCAAAATCAACAATTACTGCATCTAAATCTAAGGACTATCTAATGCCCTCCGTTGATAGACTAGCATGGAATTGAGGCACCCAATCATGTGACAAATTTAACATACAAGTTGTGTTTACTACATGGGAACGCAAAAACTAAGAGTTTCATACCAAGAAAACAATAATAACAACAATAACAATAAACAATAAAAAAACTATGGATATTTTGAGAAGCTGTACGGAAAGCAGTAAAAAATGACTGAATGAAGTTTACCAGGCACTGCCCGTAAGCTCCACCACCAAGTGTGATTTTGTATGACTGCTCAAGCACCCCATCTATAAGTCTCTGTTTATGCGTCAAGCTTGACTTGCCTTGATTTATTAATGTGTCAAGGTCTAACGAGAGCAACTGAAATATGTCAACCATTAATGCAACAGTGTTAGAAGAGAAAAACAAATGCAGGATACAATCTGTGTTATGTGTATTGCTGTGACTCTAACAAGCTGATGGCTTAGGCAACAAATCAGGAAGACCAACTATCTAGCTGGTCATTGCAGCATGTACAAGATGTATTATGATGTACATAACATACAACGCACACAACACCACCTATAATCTATGGTAAGAAATGATCGCTACAAGCATAAAATAAATGATCAGAGACCGGTTTTCTGGGAAATCTTCTACAACTGCTTGAAAAAGGAACCCAATAATATTAAGCATGATCAGACACTCAGAAGACGAAACCTAGCTAATATTAATTACATCTGTACACACTAATTATAATTTCCCTCTTGATGTTGGGGGCATTAAAAAATTTAATGGGCCAACGTTTAAAAAAACTATAGCACATGTAAAATTAGTCAGGCATAGCCCCCTTAATTATTTAATTTATAGTGATCCAATGAATTAAAGATCTATTAGTTGTCTTCTTGACGTCCAATAAAAACAAAGTAAATATACTAAGGGAAGGTCAAGGTCCTGAAAAAATAAAATGATATAATGGCACAAAATTACTACAATGATACTTAATTTATCATGTTGACTTGCGTGCACTCAATCATCTTTCTCCACTCTACTAGTCAATTCAGACAGTGTAAAATATAAGCTTGTTAAAATGACAAAGAATAAAAACCGAGCAAATTCTAAGTAGTTACTTCTAGACTTAAAATGAAAAAACTGGATCTTTCAGACAGGTTTTACTGCCCTATTTTGCAAAAGGACTGATTTTTCCACTGAAAAAAAAAAGACCCTACCCATTTTCAGAAAAGGGAAAAAAATAAAAAATAAAAAATAAAAAAACAACTTATGAGTTATGAGTAGATAATTACTTGTTGGAACAAGAAGGGATTCAATTTGACATTAAATTCAAGGTTCAAATCTTTCAAGCCACTGCTAAACGCCTTGCTACTAGGAAGGCACCACCTCCACAAATCACCATCCTCGATATACTCAAACATTCTCCTCATCCTCCGAAATTCACCAAAGGCAGTGCCTTTGGCACTGTTGGCTCCCCCGCCAAAGAGTTTCTCCTTGAAATAGTCATAAGCTATAGTTGCTCCACTCCTCTCCATATCAATCACTTTAGTCACATTTCCACTATCTGATGCACCCGAACCCAACGTCTCTAGTGCAGTCTTGTGATGATCTAGGACCACGATCCTATAATAGCAAATGAGACAAACAGATAACCAAACAATTAGGGAAACATAATATTGGTCTATAAAAAGTATGCATGATTAGNGGAAAAAAAAAAAAAAAAAACTTTTCTTGTGTCCCCCTTTTCAGTTTTTGGTATAGTATAGTGGGAATCTACTCATCAACATACACAGAATTCTAACAATACAAAAAAGTTGTGCCAATTGAATGATAAAATTTCAAGAATTGATCAAATAGTAAACTAGAAGACCATCCCCCTGCACCCCACATGTCAAAAAGCATATATGACCTTACAGCCACTAAAAACATTCGCCTTGACCTCCGAATTCACCCAAAAAGTGGGCATACTTTAATCTTTTTAACACACAATGGCAATCAGCTTTCACAAAAGAATAATAATACAAGGGAGCAGTCAAGCAAAAATTACCTTCCAACTTTAGGAGATAGCTGCTGGACGAAACCGGGCGGGCCCACAAAATCGAGAAGGTAGACGCTTTCGATTTCATCGCATGGTAAATCCTCGGCTCTGCAATACAACACACACCTTTAGCTCAAAACTTGTTATAAATATGCACACGCGAGGAATACAATTGAATTGGAACCTGAGAGGAGAGTAGACGGTGTTCGGGAAGAAAAGGGGTGGAGGAGAGGCGGCGGCCGGAGAGTGGGAGAAGTAGAGGTGGGCGGCCAAGGCGGCGAAGGCGCCGTCTGGACACGGATAGTGGTATATCACAGCTGATTTCTTCATCGCCGCCATTAATGCGTTTGTTTTGTAATTTGTTGCCCAATTAGCTAAACTATCAATTCCACGAGTCAAAACTTGTTATAAAGATGTATGTTGTTTTGATTTTTAATTAATTAAATAATTAGAATCCTATCCTATGTGTTAATTGCAAGTTAACATATATGTTATTTTGATTTTTAATTAAATTAAATAATTAAATCATTCCTTATATATTAATTGCAAGTTTCCGAGTCTATGAATTTATGTGTTCCCTAATTTTATGTGATAATATAATATCACTAACACAACACCGTGATTGTACGAGTGCTACTTACAAAATTTTGATGTTTCATAATTTAATGAATTAATATTATTTGAGAAAGTTTTCCCTTGTTTTGTAATTTTTTATTTAAAGTTAGAGATTTCCGTAGATTGTTCATAGATTTTACTGTATATATTTTCGTAATACCAATCCAACGAAACCAATATGGAAAAACACAAAGAACTTCAAAAGATGTGAAATCATTTTATTTATTAATCTCAATCATTAACACAAAGATAATAAAAAACGTTATTGTTCATAACCGACCTGATAAGCCAAGATTAAGACGAAAATTCACGAAGGCTAATCAAAGATCGTAAAAAAAAACCAGTTCATACGTCTAACTTAACACAATTCAGAACATGCGGGGTGCTAAACTGACTTCACATAGATACAAACCGACTTCACGTTCACAACAAACAATCAACTTCTCGAAAATTCCTTCTCGAAGATTCTCCCCACAAACCGAGGTCCAAGATGGCCGAAACCCAAAGTAGGTGACAAAGCGCCCGCATAATTGGATCACGTGCTATATTGCAATCGTTATTGTCCACCCATTGACCGACAAACCGCTTCATAAAGCTACCCTGCATTAAATGTGATCACACCTATTTCGTTCACAAAGTCAATTGCAGGCTACTATAAAATAGCAGGATTCATTATTGTACAGGGATCTTTTACGCACATTCAATACATACATACAAACTAGGTCGGTTCATACAAAAACCGACTTCATGTACCTTGCAATTACACAACAATAATACAAAATCTCTACTTTTTACGCTTTAATTACATCTTTGTATCGTTGTTAAATTTCATACAACAACAGGTATAAAATCATTATCGTGTTTATTAATTTCAACTATATTTATAGAAATTACAAGTTCTATTAATCTAGACTTACTACACATCATACCAATAACAATGCAATCTAAACTTATGTCATATCTACAAATTAATTATTTACAAATTTATACTAAATAAAAAAAATCCAAATAGATTTCCATATTATATGTAGATTAGTAAGTTTGTGCAATCGTGTTATACGTAGATAATAGATAATGTTCGTGCAATGCACCTGACAATCGTGTTAAACTATATGAATTGAATCAATTTAAATTTTATTTTTTATATTATTGCTTGTTGTTGTACAACAATTGTACAAAACATACATTTAAAACATTAGTGTACCACTTCATATCCAACACCCCCACTCACAATGTTAAATTTATGACCTAACCTCAACACTCATGACACATTCATGCAAAATAAATAAATAAATAAAAATAAAAATAATAAATAAAAAAATATCTTCAATTTACATAAGAGCATCTCCAATGGTTCATGTATTGCTCGTTTTTATTGCCATATGACATAATAATCTTATGTGGCATTCAAAATATCTAGAAGTCTTTCTATGTTTAGAAGTACTTCTAGCCATTCTCTATTATATTTTTTTATTATTTATTAAATATATATCTCATCCCTAATAAATTATAATCTTACACATATCAAATTATACTAAAATTGACATTAACTGTTGGGGACAAAATTTTGTAATTTTCTTTCTCCATATTATAAATCTTGGACAATATACCATTGGAGATGCTATAAACCCTCAAAGGCCAAACAAATGGACCCACATATGGCTGTCACATATACATTTTTCTAAATTAGATTTGGTATATTAAATTATATCTTTTCCTATAAAAACACACCATTTGTCATTATGGATCAGATATCTCATGCATTGTCTATCAAAATACAGAAGTTTCTGGACAAAAAACAAAAACTAAAAATGGTAGACCAACAAAAGGTTTCCCTAATGAACAGAGACAGCATTTATCCAATTTTTATTTTGGATGATCAAACACTACTTTTATTCCACAATATATTATATATATATAGGCACATTAACCAGGTCCATAATTGTTGTCTTACAAGAGTTCCACTTAGATAGTAATTCTTTAAATGTATTATGAGTGTATAATTGCACAAAAACAGCTTAAAACTAATTTGTGTGTTCTAGTAATTATAAGAAGCTCAAACATTAATATGAATAGCGTAATTGTTTGATTTGTGAATAGTGTCTAAAATTATGTAGGCTTCCTATGTATGTGCTCGAAACACATAAAATTCCCGATAAATATTATGTTAATTAATCAATAACTATTATAATAAACGGATATTCTTCATCTTCGAATTATGAATACGAGACTAGAATAATGAGACACAAATTACATATGATAAATTATCTCCACAAACACCCCCAAGAACACAAACAACAAGTTAGAAAAATTATCTAATTATTATGCAATACAAACGGTGACAGAAACTAGGGGAAAACGGGTGCGGGCCCACTATCATGAAGCGGACCATGAACGGCCATACCAAATGGGATTTCATCTCAAAACCAATTGATGGAAGGAGGAGTAGCTCATTAGTCTTAAAAAGTGGGTCTATTTTCCATGTATAAACGATGTAGGATAAATTACAAGTGATTCTAACAAACGGAGACACTAACACTCCCAAAAAATATTAGAACACTCTGTTACTGCTTACTGAGTCGCAAATATACGTAAGTTAACGACGCACGTACTCAATTGGAACATCTACAGACCAAAAACAAAATAGAANAAAAAAAAAAAAAAAAAAGAGAATAATAAATAGAATAACTCTAGTGTCACGGATGAGATAAGTTGGGTACTAGTGCTTGAAAAAACTTGGAGCTGCAATAATACTATACCTTTTTACTATTTACTTGTACAGAGTCACGTGGTGCACAATTTTAAAGCTATTTATCCAGATTTATAATTATATACATGAATAAAGAAAAATGTACGAAATATATATAGTACGTGATCCGTGCGAAGCACGGGATATATTTATTTGGAGAATATTATATTATAAGATGCAATATTCAATAAAAGTTTATAATACGCAAGAAAATTGTATAATGTTTGACAAAAGTTTTATAATATTCAAGTGGAGTCTTTAAAGTCTCTTGTAAATTAAGATTACTGACAAAATAATATTTTAATCAATGAGTTTCCTTTCCTTGTAGCCAAATTGTGAATGTGATTTGAGAGGTACAACAAATCGATATATAGCTGACTTGTTTTTTCATTGTAGTTTTTTTTTCTTTTTTTTATAATGAATTTAAAGATATTCTAAAATATAGCAAAAATTATTTTTTTTATTACAATTAGGAATTTTACTAAATATAAACTCTCAATCTATGGTTTTAATCAACGTTTAAGTCTAAAAAATTAGGAACTTTTACTTTTTTTAATCAACGTTTAAGTCTAAAAAACAATAGAGTTATTATAAGTTTTTTTCTACATCTTTTAAAACATTAAATATGAGCATGTTAGGGCTAGCTTGTAAAATAATTAATATATTATCTCACTAAAACATTTATACTA